CTCAAAGTTTGATGCAAAAACGCATGATCGCACCGGCTCGCCTGGTGCGTTCCAGCCTGGGTTTAACTAGTACTACCCCTTAAAGGATGTTGTCAGCATGCATGAACAATTTTGCAAAAATGCAAGAAAACATATAAAAATGCACAAATATAGTGCCATGCAGAAAGTCCTTAAATGATCCTACTTCTTGAGCACACAATGCGCGGATGCGCTAGTAAATTAAAAAAGCAGTGGTGCTTCTCCACAGATAATTACTCGGTCATCTAAATATTTATTTCGAATTATACTAAACAACACAAAATAAATGACTTGCTCACTGTGAGTTTGAACTAATATAGCTAGCCTAAATTCGAATATGTACCCTGTAACTGGTTAACTTTTGATCAGCGATGTAAAATTTTATAGTCTGAAGCATCAAAAATATTATTTCTCAAGTTTTTTTTGCATCAGTTGTGCACATATTAAAAATATAAAATGATAAAATTGTATCATATATGGATGTGCATTTGTATGTGCCTCTCTGTTTTCTTGGCACTGAGTTCAGTTTCAAAATCTGCAACAAACTGGACAGTTTGAAGTTATTATTAAAATTTCGCTGATTCGTAATTTCTTGTTTCATTTATTGGTCTACGTTTCAACAGTAGGAAATGGGTGCATGCCACGTGAGCTCGAAATTTTGATAGCATGGCTCTTTGAATGATGAAAATACGAAGGACTGTATCAGTATAGAAAATATGCTCAGTTTTCAGCTCGCTCCTGATCCAGTCTTAGTCTGCCCAAGGCTCGGACAAGAAATTTAAAATTTTGCGATTGCGCTACGTCGCTTTTCCGGGCGTTGGTGTATACTTTCACTATGCATCCGCAAAGAGTGGCGATGGACTTGAAGCGCGCAAAACCTAAGTAGTCCGCTGACCGTACAAGAGTAATTTTTCTAAAAGTTGACGCATTCGGCAGGTATTCATTTTGGTATCGGACGGTTATGGGCAAGAATACTGGCACGTAGTCCAATCAACTGGGAAGAAACTTCAAAGCGCTGCAGCTGAAGTTTATGCTGTTTCGACCAGTCGTGATTATAGTCTTGCCGAATTGACGCTGTATACTGGTGACGAGAAACGTGTCTATGTTGGACCGCAGCATCAGCAGTAAGCAAACATTGTATTCTTTTGCGCTACGAAATAGCATTACAGAGCATCAGTTTTGGAGCTTGTCGTTATAGAGTATTCCCTAAAATCGTCCTTGAGATATGTCGCAATTCTGTAACTGTGCGACGATGCGTTTTTGCGATCACTTCTTGCGAAAGTACAGATCTGAAAGTTTTTTAATGCTTCGGCAATTTTCTTCGGGAAGATTAATCAGGACAGATGGCTCAGGATGACACGCTTTTTTACTGTACTGTATTTATGCATAAACCAAAATTTTGAGCTATGGCTTGTTTTTGTATGAGGAAATATATGCATAAATTTAAAAAGTTCAAGACATAAGATTTGAAAGTTTTATGTATTTATGACAGGACGTATTGTCGAGAATGATTATCCCAATCCTAACTTTATAGCTTTAATATTTCTGGAATTGGAATCGTCTTGTCGGAACATGTTTTTTATGTTACCCTAAGTTCAACGCTATTTCCGCTTTACTTTAGGCGGACCTTATTAAGATTATGCCTTTGAATTTACGGTTTTCAGGGTTTCTTCTTCTACTATTACTACTGTAACAAACACTAATATTACGTCCTTGTGTGCACACATATTTACACAAACAAACATACATACGCATTAGCATATATTTGTACAGATACCCGTTGTCAAAACCCATTTTCACTGGCAAAAAACCCAGGCTGGAACGCACCAGGCTTGCCGGTGCGATCATGCTTTTTTTTGCCCTAAGCTTGCGGGTCGCTAATAGCAGGAATAATCCCTGCGCTGTAGCCAAACACTTGGGCTCATATTGGCATGCTTTGGTTTCTTCGGGCATGCAGCAGAATGGGCATCGGTTGGGAAGATGTAGCGTTATAGGGCTGCATGGACCTGCAAGTACATGATTACCATTTTTTGCACGAAGCGCAGTCGGTTTTTCCGTAATTGCTCGCTTTTTGAAAAAATGAAAAATGCAAATTTTTTGGAAAAATGCAAATCTCCGGTTCAATAAAAAA